ACACAATTGCTGCAATCGTGCTATAATTATGGGAAGTTATTTGATTTGATTCCGTAGGGGGAAAGGTCGGTTTTCTTGAGCTATATGAAACTGTGGTGCAGCTATGGTATTCAGCAAGCTTGCCTAGGTGACCCTGCTTTGGTAATGCAGGAATTTATGCACCCCTGTCATAAGCTTGTCAACATGAAACAAGTTTCCCTGCTAACCGCCACCTTCACTCTTTGGATCACTGAATACCCTCAAATAAGGTCAGATAACTTGTTAAACGAGCTCCGACTCTCTGTAATAAGAGCTGGAATATGTATGTGTTGTATTTAAAAGTTGGTTCTTATTTTCAAATGTTTTTTTTTTTTTTTTGCTGGGGGGGATTTTAATTTAATTTTCAAAAACAGTACCCATTGCATTTTTTTCTTCAATGTGAAAATGCAATAATAATGATGATGATAATAATAACATTATTATTATTATTATTATTATTATTATTATTATTATTATTATTATTATTTATTCACAATTAGAGCAGGTCTCGCTGTGTGATCAGAGTATTAGTTTTGTCTGGTGTAATGGAGTAGTAGATTACATAATTGTCATTCGTCTCACGTTCACTTTTGAATATAACACGGCGAATGCTCTGTATAACATTGAATACATGTTAAAGCAAATGGTGATTTTCTAGCTAACTGGTATATCTATTTTTACGGTGGGCAACATGTCAGGGGTTAGTAGAAGATTACCAAATGTTATCCGAGCATGCCGCGGCTTAGTAAGGGCCATGCCAGTTAAGCGGGCACTTTGGAAGGATGTGCAACATGGACTCGATCCCAAATTTTCTCCACTTAGTTTACCCGTCAGAGGAGTAAAACATCGAGCGATACAGTTCAAAAAGGTAAAGATAGAAACAGTCCTATTCCATATATAAATCGATGTTACAGACATGTACCGGAATCACTATAGTGCTCCTAATATTTCAGATTTAAAAAATCTTACATGTTCTGACTACAATCATTGAATTAAATTTTGAACGTAAGGGCTTACTGAGACTTATTTCTAATCTCTTAAATCATTCCCACGCGCTAATTCGTTCCACTATTTTCTTCAATTAATTTCTATATATGACTTTTTTTTCTATTTTCTAAATCCAATTTCCTTGTACTTGTGCACATCTCAGGCTCCATTGGACTACCCGCCGGTGACTGGGTCTGATCACTGGAGACGGAAGTTACGTACGACGTTCAGATGTTTCGACACAAACGGTGACGGCTACGTTTCAAAAGAAGACTTCGTGATAAGTGCGAAACGCTGTGCCCAGTATTTGGGCCTTAACGGTGGGTTAATTAGTTTAACTATTGAATTAATATTATAAAAAAGGAATACACTGATCTGTTATAAGTTTGCTATATGTTATATTGCTTTTCATCTCTCTCTCTCGCTCTCTCTTCCACGCACTCTTACATTTTTAAATCACGATATAATACACTCGTGAAAAAATTATTGCCGACTTAGCGTGAATTTAATGAAAACTACGGGTGTTTACATTTGGTTCCAAGAACTTCCAACATCAATCTGAAATAACCCTTCGCTTCTTTTAGATGAAAGAACACAGTGTGTTCTCAACCAACGCACTCGAATCTGGGGAATTATTCCTAAGGGCGCAGATGCTTCTAAAATATCAGAGGACGACTACGTTAATGGTGGACTAACGGTGTTTAACCAACACAGCTTCCGACAGGAGTTTCTCCCCATGGTGATAACTGAGGATTTTAATGCCATGGACATTGATGGAGATGGAATCATTTCCCATGAAGAGCACAAGGCTTTTTTCTACAGCTTAAACATCCCCGTGGAAATGTCGAAGAAAATATTTGACGTTATGGACATCGACAAAGATGGCTTGATAACCATTGACGAATTTGCACATGCCATGACGGAATTCTTGTTAACCGAGGACCAAGATAACGCATATAGCGGTTTTTTTGGTCCACTGGCTGATTAACAAAATATTAAGCGAGCAGGCATGTCAAATTATAACCACTCAGCCTGAATTCCCCCCTAACCAAGGCCACAAACAATGTATACAAATGGGTTTTCGATCCATTTGCTGATTAAAGCAACTGCTACTCCTTTGATAAACGATTTACGATGCAGTCTTCATATTAAACCTTTTTAAACAGAAATGTGTTGTATGAAAAGTGTTTTTATTGATAATCAACAGACTGGCTTGCAATGTTGACCTTGCAATGTTGGCCTTGCGTGCTGTTTTAAAGTATTATTATTATTATTATTATTATTAGTAGTAGTAGTAGTAGTAGTAGTAGTAATACATGTAGTAGTACTAAAATGGAAGGAGGGACACGTTTGCTTCCTTATTATTCAATGACATGTCTTGGATTGATGTGCCATGCAAAGAAAGAAAAAAATACAATAAACCTTATCACAATCATCATATTAATTATAATACACAGTCAATGACTTTGGTGGAGTCAGATCGCCTGACAACGGATTTGTTGGTTGCATTCAACATAGGACTATAATATGATATGCACTAAAACTGGATAAAAGTATGGTTTCATGTATTCATTTCTTTTGTTGCGCAGGAGTTTGCACCCTTGTTAAACAGTATGCTTCCCAAAATATACATTCTCTGTTAACCTCAAACTTCACTCTTTGGATCACTGAATGCCGACAAGTAAGGCCTGACAAATTTTTATGTCGTTTAACGAGCGACTTCTCTCTGTAAACAGGGTCGGAATGAATTTATATTTTATTTATTTAAAACACGAGACTTTTCCAAAACTTTAACTTGTGTATTTTTTCTTCATTTGGATATAAATACAATAATAATAATAATAATAATAATAATAATAATAATAATAATAATAATTTATTCAAAATCAATTATGTTCGGTTGCGCTCAGTATTCAGTGTATAAGATTTGCTTTGCCTAATAAAATGCATTATTGTTAGTCGTCTCACGTTCACTCTACATTATACAAGGTATCAACTTGAATATGCAAGGGTTGAATTTCCTTTCAACAATAAACCCAGCAAACACTCACGTTTGGATCACGTGGCCAGCACGTTGCTATGACGTTATAATGTGGTTCGGTAGCAACGTGCTAGCCACGTGATCCGAACGTGACGTTTTTGCTGGAAATGTACTTTAAGAAAGAAGGACATTTACTGGATAAAATGTATACATTTTACGTCGGCCAACATGTCTAAGGTTTTCCAGGCTAGTAGAGGATTGCTGAAGATTGCCCAAACCTGTCATGGCTTAACAAGGGTTTTACCGGTTAGGAAGACAGTAGGGAAGGGTGTGCGAAATGAACCAGTTGCGAAAATTTATCATCTTAGATTACCTGTCCGGACACTTACAATTCAAACGATACAGTTTAAAAAGGTAAGTTGACAAAAATCCTCATACCAAATATACACTACATCAACTGGTGTCATTTGTGACCTTTCAGATCACTTTTGTGCATTTCAGGACCCAATGGAGTACCCACTGCTGACTGGAGCTCATCACTGGAGGAGGAAGATGCGCACCACTTTCAGATGCTTGGACGCAAACTCTGACGGCTACATTACAAAAGATGACTACGCTATTACAGCAAGACGTTGTGCCCAGTTTTTGGACCTTAATGGTAGGCTAAATGATAAAAAATACACTTGTGATTAAAACTAAAACATTCATCTACAGATGCTTTGAATTTGGGGTAGGCTTCAATTGGTGCAAACAACTTCAATTAATGCATTGTTGAAACGTAATTACAAGAAAAGTTTTAATATACGCTTTTCTTACTTCCTCGCTCTCAACTTAAATATATACGCGGAAAATTGAACAGGTACAAATGCAGTCTTTATGCAAAACTATTATGACGTATTTCTCGATAAATTACGTTTATTGGATACAAATGGATACTATATCTTGAAGCGTTTCTTTTAGATGAGAGAGCACAACATATTTTGAATCAGCGTATTGCAATGTGGGAAATTATTCCTAAGGGTACAGAAGATCCTTCTAAGGTATCAGAAGAAGAATATATCAACTCCGCTCCACCGGTGTTCAACCGAAACAGCTTTCGACAGGATTTTCTACCCATGGTGATATCAATGGATTTTGATGCCATGGACATTGATGGCGATGGACTCATTTCCAACGAAGAACATAAAGCTTTTTTCTATGGCTTACACATCCCTGTGGATGAGTCGAAAAAAATATTTGACGTGATGGACACCAACAAAGATGGTTTAATATCCATTGACGAATTTGCACATGCTTGGACAGAATTCTTTTTAACCGAAGACCCGAATAACATATACGACGTGTTATTTGGTAAACTGGCTGATTAAACTGTTTTGTTTCTGCGTTGATTAAAACAACGTACTTAAGTTTCATTCTTCTAAAATGAAATCAGCAAAGGAAGAAAGATGCTTCTCTTGATTGTCGACAACTAGAATAAGAAATTGCGTCACAAGTAATAGATTGAATGATAATATTAAGGAGACTAGATTACATGATTTACTCAATGTTTCATCGGCAATCGTGTAAGTTTAATGTGATCTAACTGTATGGTACCAACTTTGAAGAGACCCTGGACGATAATCTATATTATATTATATTATATTATATTATATTATATTATATTATATTATATTATCATTTTTTTTCTTCATTTTTGTGATATACTGGTAGATGCTTAAATACATTGTAGGAATTAAATGAGTGGAAAACAGCTCACGATGACCATTGTGAGGCAAAACAACCTAGGGTGCCACAAATGACCTTCAACATTTACTGTTAAATACATTTTAAAGTACACAGAATAGCACGCACGCCACTTTCTTTATATTTCCTTTTAAACTATATTTCCATTTTAAATCTTTCTTTTTTACAGTAATATAAATGGCATCATTTTGTAACAGGGAAACTATTGGAAAACAACACACGATGAACATCGTGAGAGTAGAAATCATCGGGTGCCACAAATATAATCATATTATTCAGTATTTGGTATATCTTAGAAGGATGCATACAGAGTAAGGGGCATGTTATTGTTAAACAGTTACCCTTTTTTGCTGATTACGTGACAAGGTTGTAAAGCTGTTGTTAAGGATGCTCAGTGAACCGCTCGCCCGCTACCCCTATATCTTTTTCAACAAACAGTGAATTGGTAGCGCTTTCAATACGCCAATCTTTCACACGCTGCGCACGGTGTCACTTTATAATTTTCGATCTAACAAAATTGGTCATTTCTTTCTACAAACATGGCTTTTTAAACTATATTTACAAAGTCAATCAGACTACCTTGATATCAAATAAAATGACCGTGTCCTGATGATAATTATTGTTGATAAATCTCGCCTTGCAATCTACACTATCACATCAGTATCTCTGCTCAATTTTATCTTCAATCCCAGGCGTAAATCCAATGACTGGATATCATTGATAAGGCCAGAACAAGTTGATAAGTTTTTAAGTAGTGGCGACTCTCTATTAATACAGTATGTATATAGACTAGATTCATTTTGTTTTTTTTTTTTCATCATACACACACTGGACAATAGAAGTGTCACCCCCTAACTCAGAGTAATAAAAGTAGGCAGATCTTGGGCACTTACACTAATGCCTGCTCTACTTATAATGTGAAAAATGAGTATAAAACCGCTATACCATTGTTGGTCTTGTACATGTACAGCAAATGTTATTCCTGTCTTCCTCCAATATGGCAAGATACAGGTAATTATCTAACGGTTATAGGTGCAAGTTATTAACCTGAAGAGGTGGAATATAAGCAATATCAGAATATCGATACAATTGAATTGTTCAGTCAGAACCGTGCAGAGGGTCTGGTCTCGGTATAGAAACACTGGGTCAAGAGACAAATTGCCTCTGATGGGTCGTCCAAGAAAAACTACTGGCCGTGAAGACCGACGACTATATAATAATAATATAATAATCTTTATTGGAGAATCGCAACCCGAAGGTTGAAGTTATACAATTACATATATGAATATTCACGTCAAGGAAGCCTGGTCATTTTTACACTGGTGCACTCCGTAGACGGTCTCACCTCCCTGGGGAGCATACAGCTCGGCTGCCATATTAGGCGCTCATAGCTAATATAACATTTCTGCACTGCCTGACCAGGTCCCTGCTTCAACCCCTTAGTGCTGAGTGCCAAGCGGGGAGACAGCAGGTACCGTTTATAAAGGACTGGTATGTCCCCGGACGGGTTTTGAACCCACGTCCTCCCGCTCCGGAGGCGGACACTCTAACCACAAGGCCATCCGGTCGGACTGATTTTTATGTCCAGGTGTCAAAGTTCGACACTGCTTGTCAGTTGACAACACAGTGGAACAATTTCACACATAAGAATGTGTCTGTGAAAATTGCTAGGCGTCGGTTACATGCTCATAGAGTGTACAGCAGGGTGGCAAGACTGAAACCTCTTATATCGTTACAAAACAGGCAACGTAGAGTGAACTAGGGTCAACAGGATTTGGAACTGGACAGTCCATGACAATTGGTCCTATATATTTTTTTCTGATGAGTGTCGCTTTGGTCTTACCTCTGATGACAGACGGGTACGA